CCCACACCCCGGCCCTGGAAGGGCGCCCTGAACGCCGCTGCCGCTGCGGCTCTGTGATTTCTCTCCCTAGGAGGCTGGCGAGGCCATCTTCCTTTCCAGGTCTCCCTTCCCTCCCAAACCCAGCGCAGGCTGTCCCGCCCCTCTGCCCTCGCCTGGGAGTCAGCCTCTGGCCTTGGGGTTGGCCTAGGAAGAGGTGGCCTCTGCCGAAATCCCAAGACAGCACCTTTCACCTGGCCAGGGTGTTTCCAGCTAAACACAGGTGCACACACACGCAACACATGCATACACACTCTGACTCTGGTTGAAAAGCTTGGGAAATATCGGGGTGAGCTTAGTCAAACTAGTTTGCAGGACTTGTCAGAACCTTAAAGGTCACCGACGGCAGTTTCTCAAAGTCCGTGACAGGGAACCTGCGCTCCGCAGCACACACCTTGGGGAAGAATGCAGGACAAAAGCCACAGCGACCCGCACCACAAAGATGCTCACGGCGGGGCGGGGCAGGCGTGGGGCAGAGGCTGGGAGCCTTGATTTCCCTGCGGGGCAGGCAACTCCTCCCAGCCCTTTCCCAGGGCAAACGCACCGTGGCCGTGGCAGGTTGGGAGACACGCTTTTCCTGTGCAGGCGGAGAGGCCTGGTTCGCCCCACCCCTAGGCAGGCGCGGTCCCCTGGAACACAACCGCTAAGAGCCAGGTGGAGCCAGAAGCCCCTCTGGTGCCACTGGACCCCAGCGCTCCTGGCAGGGTGTCCGGGGTCCTTACCCCTGACCTGAGGGTGTCGCTGTGTGCCCACAGGGCCTAGCACTAATGCCCGCTCAGTGCTGAGAGAGATGTAAGAAAGGGGCTGGGTGCAGCAGGGAATCTGACTTGTTCGCTCTCACCTCAGACTGTTAAAGGCCTAACCAAGGCCTACAAGGCCTTTGCTTCACCCCTGCGGCCCCGCCTCCTGCACACTCCCTTAACTCAGCTCCAACCCTGCAGGCTGCCTTATCCTCCACACACAGAGCTCCAACCTCAGGGCCTTTGCACTATCTCTGGCTGTTTCCTGTATAGAGCGCAGGTACCAGCATGGCTTTTTTCCCCCTTCTATACTAGGGATTGACCCCAACGCCTTCACACTCCTCGTTGCTTTTTATTTTGAGACAAGGTCTCAATAAGTCTCTAAGTTGCCTAGGCTGTGCTCAAACTTGTGATCCTCCTGCCTCAGCCTCCCAGAGAGCTGGGATTACAGGTGTGCACCATGGCTCAGCATTTCCCTTGGCTCCCCTCAGCGGTCACCTCACCTAAAGGCCACTCCGGGGCCTCTTACTTGCTCTTCTTGTCAGTCTTACTACCTAAAGCAGTGCTACTGGCCAGCGCGTGTCTGTGCCGGCTGGGTTTCCCTATCGGGTGTGTGTGTGTATGTGTGTGCACGCGCGTGTGTTGGAAGCTTTGCGTGGGAACAGGGCCTGTGTGTTGGCTCCTGCTGGGCAAAGGAACTGAAGGGAGAGAGAGCAGAAGACCTGGGCCCAGGCCCAGAGGAGGAAGGGACACCAGGGACTCTAGGAAAAGAACAAATTTACTTCAGTTTAAGGCAAATTCCACAGACTGTCTCAGAGACGGCACAGGACAGACAGCAGAAACACCACCACCGCCATGCAGGGCTGGGAGGGAGTGGCGGGCACAGTGCCCGTGTGGCAGGGGATGGCATGCAGGACCGGCTCAGGGAGGGAGAGGCTGGCGGCCGGGGCGCGGTGACACCACTCCACCACCTCCACAGCTCAGATGTGCGGCCCGGGCTGAGGACTAGGGTGTGCTGAGGACTGGGTGGCAGGAGGGACCGGGTGACCCTCAGACCAAGGTGCAGGATGAGGGTCAGGCTGGGAGGGTGGGAGGCGGGGCTGGGCACACAGGAACAGACCCTCAGGGTGGAGACTGAGCCTTGCTGGCTCCCCGGGGGGCAGAGCTGGAACCAGGTTCCCTGTTCCCTGTCCCCACGGGCAGAGGGCAGGCACAGGGTGGGAGGCACAGGGCCCGGGCCTCCAGGGGAGCAGAGATAGGGCGCCCAGGCCCGGCAGCCCCGAAGGAGAGGGGGCGCCTGGAGGTGCCCGCGCATCCCACCGTGGAGGCTTGGGGTCTGTGTGTCCAGAGGCAGTGGACGTGGTGGCCCATGGGGCTCCAGGAAGGCTGGGTCCACTGCCTCAGTGTCCCCGGAGGGCCACACGCTCGGCCACTCTGCAGCCCCGCCAGTCTCGGGGTTCATGGGAAATGGGCACAGGACAGCTAAGGGGGTGGGGCAGGAGGCCAGGGGAGTGGACGGGGCCCCAGAGATTCCCCAGTAACACCTTCCTGGCTGGGCCGGAGCCCTAAACGCAGGCCCAGAGGACCCAACACTGGGTGTGGAGCCAGGGAGGCGGGGGCTGGAGGGGTCCTTCAGAGGCTCTGCCCTGGCTCGCACACGTCCAGAAGGCTGCCCGGCTCAGAGGTGCAGGGGTGATGCGGGTGGTGTGCGGGCCGGGGACCTGGGTGGCGAGTGTGTGGGCGCAGCAGGCGGGGGCCGTGGGCGGATGCCCTGGGCCTTCATGTAGGACACCAGCTGGTCCGGGATCTCGGCCAGCACATCTCGGGCCAGGCGGGCCATGCTCAGCACGTGGTTGCCTGTGCGGTCCACATAGTCCCGGAAGGGCACGAACTGGCAGGCAGAGAGGCAGAGTCAGGAGGGCCTCCTGTGGACTCTGATCCCCAAATCTCTAGGTCTGGCCACCCTGACTCTGCCCTGTTCACCCGGTCACCCTTCCTGGGGAAGCCCTGGAGGGACAGTCATGGTCCCTTCTCTGACAGCCACTCAACAAATCCTGGCTGAGCACCTGTTCCGAGCCAGGTGCCCCAGAAAGACACAGAGGGGCTGGAAAGCGGGGAGCAGCCCCCTCCCAGGCCGGCCTTCTCCTTCCTCTCCGGAGGGCCTACTCAGCTCCTGCCTTCCCTTCTCTTTGGGGCAACTCTGGCCTACAGCTGGAGCCAGGGCCCTCCGGCCTCTTCCTGGGTCCCCGAGGGGTGCCCCAAGGTGTCTGTGCCCCCAGGCTTTGGGGTACGGGTCCCTCAGACCCCGAGTCCCTGCACACCTCTCCAGGGTCTAAACCAAGGAGGTGAGGCGTGGCCGCCCTGTTCCACACGTCCTGAGCCCCGAGAGCAGCAGACCAGACCAGATGGGGCCTCCCCAGGGCACGGACCGTGGCCTGGACCCCTGCTCCCGCCTGCAGCCGGATTATCCAAGCCCAAGCCCGGCAGTGCCTCCCTCACCACGCGGACAGAGGGCTGGGCTCCAGCTCCTCCGGGAGCCGGCGGGCAAGAGGCCCTCGGACAGAGGTGACCCCAGGACTGGGCCCTGCAGTTACTTCCGGGCCTCACCTGGACAATGTCGCGCTC